CAAAGATACATTGGAAGAAAAGTTAAAGAGAAAATTGCAGAAGAAAATTTAAAATACCATCATCAACACTACTCTTCCATTAACCCTCAATTAACTCCACCGTTATATCCAACTGATGTTGAGAAAATGAAGATCCAAACATTTTCGAGAATTCGCCTTGGTCATACAATTGCAACTCACCAATGGATCTTGAAGAAGTCTTCCTCCCCAATCTGCAGTTGTGGACAAACTCTCACTATAAAGCACATTCTCTACGACTGCCTTAACTTTTCCTTGGCTGGAAGTATTACATTTGGAACGATTAACCCTTTGGACATTCTAAAATCAGCTTCATAACAGAATATCAATTCAATTTATTACTTCATTAATACTACTAAACTCATTATGTAATGTACATTTATTTAAATTAGAGCCGATAGCCTGTGTTGCTAGTCCTCAATATTTTTTTTTTTAGTCTAAGAAATTATTTGATTATTCTAAAATTATAATAATAATATTTGACCATAGAATAGAAACAATGCAATAATAATACAACAGAAATAAACACGGTGTAGAATAACTTATGTTGGATATGGAAAATTAGGTGAAATATGTGAAATATGTATGTTTAACATAAATTTCTGAAAGCATTTGGCGCACATAGAATTTCATTTCTTTTATTTATTCTGTATTCCCTTTTCTATATTGTGCTATTTACCCTTTTTTCATACATACGCACTTATGCTGATTCTAGAGCCCATATTCGCTTAAGAACCCAGCTTTTTAGGTGTTTCTGGTTTGCATACGTTTTAGGGAATTCAAGGTAATATCAAGAAACTATGAACCGAATTTGTGCCCATAAAAATAATAGAAATGAAAGAGCAACCATAAAAATGGCTGCTAATTAACAGCGTTACTGCTGCTTCGGTTATATATAAAAAATCACTTGAATGTCAAGCGGCAATTGTTATTTTAAATCTGGAATAATCATGTAAGGAAGCGATTGTCGGTGTGATTATCACCTTGTTTTTAGGAGACAATTGATTATCGCCAAAAGGCTAACCATGCACCTTTGTTACCAACTTCGCAACATTTTGCGTTCAATTTTCCATTACAATGCGTTAATAACTGAAAGAAGCGTAAATGAGAGCAAATAGACGGTCGCTTGTTTTATATAAGCAAACCACATATGGTAGGCAATAACAAGCATGCAAAATTTAATGAGAAACAAACGATGTAAAATTTGTGTTAGGCCACAAAACAACGAATGAATTTATATGTTAACATGATCATAGTCGATTTACAAGAACAGAATGATTTATATATAAATATGAACAAACAAAAAGAAAAAATCCAGGGCACAAAATATTTTGATTGAAAAAATTTTCTGCGAGTTATAAACTTAGAAATTATTTATACTTTTAAGATTGTTGTAGTATTCATAAATTTAGTGGTACCAATTGTTTAAATTCCTTGCTCAACTGCCTCAGTTGAAATGCCCCCATACATGAGAAAATCCAAGAAATTTCAAATTGACTGCTATAATTTTCATTTCATGGTAAGCATGTAGAAAGAAAACTTTATATTTATGTAAATGAAAAGAAGCTCTTAATACACAATATACAGATCACTTACTAGCATTCCGTTTATGCGGTTTGCTTTCTGATTAATGAAATTTGCTGCTTTCTTCGCTGGGTTTGAAAAGCATGTATGCGCAGTTTACTATAATAAGTAATGAAAATAATTTAATAGTCGCTTAAAACGTTTGTAAAACAAAACAGTCAAATGATTAATGCTTGGAATATTAAAGAGCTGGTCAAACCACATTTTTGTATCTGCGTTTGCAGTTCATTGATTCGACGACGCACAAAGTTTTCTTTGCAGCTCTTGTAACAACTATGATACAATAGCTGATGATGTTGTTTGTGCAACAATTACGATATGGTCGCCACAAGGCATTACTAACTCCCGGAAGCCAACAACTCTAAGTTCATTGCTAAGCGTAAGACCGACTCCTCATATCGCCATTCGTAACAATTTTCCCAACACGTAGCCAAAAGCCGCTTTTGGAACGCGTAACTTCCGCGTAAATCTGCATACAACAATATACCATATATTTGTACGTCGTTTGCAAATACTAGAATTTATATTTTAAAAGAAATTGCACGTACTTTTACACAATTCACGCACACAGTTTAACTTTTAAAATGGAAAATAATTAAATTTCTAAAAGCTGCTCATATTTTTCTTTTAAAGCTGTTTTTTACAAACACAACTCTAAAAGAAAGATTTGGGGTAGCCTTGCTTGGCTTATACTCAATACTAATGCAAATTTGTTCTCAGCGACAACGATTTTGCCGTAACTCAGAGAGTACATTTGGCTGCATTCATCTGCAAATTCGCTTACATGATTAAATTTTATCGGTGATTGTCGTCTGCCTTCATTATAACCTCCACGCATATTTTGGTAACGTCTGCTATCAACTGGCATAACAGTAATAATTGTGTTTGCTGATCAACATTTTTGTCAATATCTCTCAAATTTAATGTTCCGAAGTACAATTTATATTAAAACTCTGCAAGATCAATTTTGCGCTAGAAAAGGTTGTTCATTTATGAAAATCACAAACTGATGTGTTAAAATGGACGCGGCATTAAAAAATTAGTAAATTCAAGAAAAATTTTTAATGTATTGTTTTAGTGCAATAATTCTTATCGCTCAGATTTTCTAGCAATCTCTTACGCTGCAATCTAAAAAGAATGATCAATGAATAATAAGTTAACGAACCTCCCTTCTGAAAAATGCTCTGTTATTAGTAACATGCTCAAGATTACCGCACAAACATGTGATATTTTCTGTAATCACCAAATTTATAATTAGAATTCAGAATACCCAAACCTCATGAAAGATTACAAAACATTAACATTTGACATTTGTTTGTGACAAACATACAGTTAATGATGTCTCAGTGCTGTTGCTCAAAATAAGAGGATACGGATTCACAAACTATTATTAAAAGACAGAGAATCTGGTGGAATCTGCAAAAAGGCTTACTGTTTACTTATTATATACCTCCTTAAATATTTAGTGTGCTATATGGACGCAAATGATCAACATCCTTCCTTACGCTGCAGAATAGTTTGTTTAGCGTGAAAACTCTTACGTTAGCTACTTTTCTTTCATATATTATTTTGCATACAGGAAAGTAATATTCATTCGTAAATTAATATAACACCAAATAGTTTTTTAATGTATATTCATAAACGTACTTTATTTCATCTTAGGTTTTTAAACGAATTACTTAACGCTGACTGGTTAGAAGACATTTCGTAAGCTGCCATCTAAAGATTTCTCTTCTCTAGATCCCAATTTTTTTATGGATGTATTGTTGTTAACAGGTTTTATGGCTTTGCTTGACGGAACAGCCAGGTTCGGGTCATCTAGTTGCAACTGTTGGTTAACCCTGTAAATGGAATAGCATATAACTTAGATTTGTAAAGTAATTTAAAAATATAAGGTAATTGTTATGAAAGGCATAATATGGCAACAGTTTTACACAATTGTCATACCCTAGACCACTTTTAATACAACGGCAAGTTTGTGCAAATGTAAACGTTTGTGTATGTAACACTCAGAAGAACTTACGATAGAGCCATCTTTTTTATATCAATCAATTTTTTATATTGATCAATTCAAAAAGTGCTTCGCCCATTCGGCTTAACTTTATGAGGTATTTTGATGAGATTTGGCCGACGTGTTGCGGCCCAAGGACAAACGCTATTGAAAATGGTTCATATCGGCCCACTTTCTACAAAAAGCTTTTTTATGAAAATTGCTTACATGAATAACTGTATACTGGGGTAGGGTATTTAATTATGGGCTGTGGTCCATGTTTGTGTCCTTATTAGCTTTATTTTTATCTCTTTTCATCTGTTCTCTAACTGATTATCTGCAAATGATTTGTTAATAAACTGAATTTAAATATAAGAAATGTTCTTTTACCCTTAACATTTTTTAAAACAAATTAAGTTTGCCTTTTTAAACCAAATGCTTTATCCACTTCAAAAAAAGAAGAAAAACGAAATAAATAATTAAACCTAGGTTTATTTAGGTCATATAAACCTAAACGACAATATATATCCGTATTTTAAAACGAGCAGAACTACAAATTGGAAAACATTTCACATGTTGGCTCTCCAATTTTCGTTTAAATACTTTTTGACTTTTTTTTTTTTAAGATGGTTTATTAAGAACATCCACTTATTTTATTACAATTACATAATAAAATTGTGGCGTTACAGTGAATCGATTGTGATACATTGTTTAACTATTTTGCTTAATTTCGCATTTTTCCTTCAAGTGACTGAAGGAAGATTAAAAAATAAAAAGTGTGGAAATGAGTGTCAAAGCAAATTTATGTGTTGGGGTTGATCAACGTTATACAGACATCTTAACAAAGACGCTTAGACTATTTTGCTTTCCATTCTCATTTCTTAAACGATTTTTATTTGAACACAAAGGGTAATTCTCTCCCTCGGTTGTGTTCCAAAGAAGCAAATAAAACGAAAATAATTACAGTTATGTCATTGTTGTTATGCAGGTCTGCTTTAACTCAGCTAAAAAAGAATTGAAGAAACATACGTTCGTGTGCTGTTCGCCTATTTTGTGTTGTTTTGTGCACTATGCCTGTACATTACGAGTATGTAACTTGACCTTTTCCTTCCAAAGCAAAACCATTGTAATTGTATATAACGCGTTTAAAAATAAAAGTATTAAGTATTATTTAAGAAGTTATAAAAATATAATAAAAACATTATAACACGTTCATTAAAACATTGTAAAAGATGGAATTACAAAGACGTTTTATTAGATTAGTCAAGTCATCGCAGGCTCGTCCAGGATTTTTCATTTCATATATTTATGTTATAGACCAATTATTTATTATTTTTAGTATAGCGCAATAATAATTAAAAACAAGGTTGTTAGAATGTTATAGAATAGAGCGATAATATCCTCAAATTTTCGAGCAGCTGATATTAAAAGGAAATCTGTTTAAATGTTGTAGCTTCGCGGATACCGTTCTCATCGGGTATACTTTATTACAGGGTACAACGACTCTACCCCTACGCCAGGGGTGACATAAACGTGCCGAAACCCTTACCTCCTTGTGGTGATCCCCGGAAACGGCTTTTGCCGACGAAGAAGGATTTAAGGCGTGGACTACTTATAACTTGGCGACGAGTTTTCTGAAAGATGGCTTAGGGGTCCACCGGAAAATGAACTCTTTACTCAATAAGCTAATTACTACAGAGGAAATTCTAACCCAAAGCCAGCTGGTCACTGGTTACGTAAAAATACGTACAGGTTGGGTGCATGGTAGCTCGCCCGCCATGTCAGTTCAACGCCCGAAGCTAAAATATCTTGATGAAGGGTAGTCCGGTTTTGGCTAGCTGGGATTTTATGGTTAATCCGAAGGCAAGAGTGGTCTGACTCTGTTCAGTTGCGTAAAGTAAGCTAAAGGCTTTATGGTCTAACTTAAAGCACCACGGTGGTCACGAGCCTGCTCACAAAGCCACGTATACCTGCGGGTAAAAGGGAAAGCAACTGAAATTGAAATTAACTGATATGAATGATATATAATAATATATAAATAATATATCATCTTACATGAAAATATGAAAGATTCTACTCGATAAAGGGTCAAACTTAATCTCGGAACATGAAATTAATGAATAATAAAATTAAAGATGTTTTGGTCCTCTTGCCTTAAATGCGCCGCTAAAGCGAATTATTAGAGCATGATAAAATCTTTCGAAATATGAATGATAAAATGAAATGTTCACGAAAGTCTGCGGGTAATGGTGGCAATATCGATTAACTGCATTCTTGTGGAAACTGCGGTGGAACACGACCTTCCATTTTGAACGCAGCAGTCGATCAATATGTGAGCCCTGATTGCTTGGGTACGGCCCTTCGGGGAGTATTCGTGGTGGTTGTAGATTTCACTATTCCAAGCCAAAGTGATAGATCGAAGTTAGGACAGAGCTCAACACTGACCAGAGTGGTTTATTGAGCCGTACACAATAACCAATCTGATTTCTTCAAGTGAGCGAGGCCGCCTTAAATGAGGATTGTCTCTCTCCCTTGGGGGTTTTCAATCTACCAATTGATTGCCGATGGTTGTAGGCAACTCATCTGATTAGGGCTTCATGCAAGGTGCAGACGTTAAACCTCAACAATTATCTACTCCCACGACAATTTGGTTATCAAAGGAAGCGACTGAGCCACGTTGCGCCGATCATTTTAATGCCAATTAGTCATTAGCAGCAGCTAGCAAGTTATCCCATTGATAAGGCAATAACTTATCTTTGTTCAGCTTGTTTAAGTGTACATAATTACGAGCCGGCCACTTTCACACCGACTTTACATAAAAAAGATCCTCAGAACGTCTAATGGCCCTTTTCAAAGCCACATGGAAAATTAACTAATATCATGCTTTTTTGCATTAGTCTTCTCTTATCACCCTTGTTAAGACGAAAAACATTGTTCATTCCTTAATAATTTTTTAAGTTCTACGATTAATTCATTTAATAGCTCAGCTTTAGTTGTTATTAAAAGCATTTTTAATAATTGGTACAGATAGAATGGGTACATCTATATTTAGCAGAGGTATTTCCATTAAAGTCATCTTGTTCTTTCATTATACAAAAACAATTCAAGTCACATACGCTCTGCACTAATGTTTTCGTATAATAATGTATTTTTATTATTTTCCCCTGCTTTTAGAAACAACCAAGATACACTTTTTAATTATTTAATAAAAGGTTCTAATGGTAAAGCCTAGCTAAGATGTTTCTGACGCACAATGATATTAGGATTGGAAAACCGTGGAAATGAACTTGTTAATATTTAACAAATGGCTGAATTACCATATTTCTCCTCATTATATTTGCCACTCCCAATTGACTTTCCCTTCTTGTGCTTTTGCTTCCTGCCTTTTTATTTTGCAAAAGAACGCAAAGAATGTGATACACAGAGTTTGTAAGCTGCGCAAAATAAATCAAGGTCAATTGTTTGCATATTTGTCTTATCTATGATTTCACCTTAAATTTTTTGCAATGACAAAAGAAAACAGCTGAAAAAATGGACATTACCTAAATATTTACATTATTTGAGTTATTGGATAATATGAGTTTTGGTGTAACGTCCTTTCTTGTAATCATTGTTAAAACATTGTAACAAACATCTCAGCTCATCTGCGAATAACTGCCTTAATCCAAATGATTGGTATGGCACCCGGTTTGCCGCCCTGTCCATCTGTTTGCTGAATGTGTTTTTTGCGGAAAGTGCATCCCTTGTACTCCAACCCTTACGTAGCCGGTCTGCTGGTTACCTGTATCGTGAAGTGCAGCTGTGCTGCACGTCCAGATAGCCTCTTTTTGAATCATATCGACTATCCACCTAATGTTAAATTTGGTTCTGCATGGTTCGCTCACTAGCACCAGAACAACTTCTTTTTCGCTCACCGTCTGGCGGAGTAGGTTCTGCCCCGTTTTGTTGAGGTTGAAATTGATTTGCATAAGCTTTATTGATAAGTGCACAGTCCGATTTTACTCTTTTCAAAATGTTCACGTGGCTATTTAACACTATAACAATCGCGTCCGGCTTGACCCTACGACGTTGGATGTTTCGGCCATTTTTCTTAACTTTCTCGGCTACTTGGGTCCATTGGCCTACGCTGTAATTGGGCGGCTGTTGTCCCTCTCTTTTCTGGCTGGTGTAATGCATTTAATATACCCACGTAATTTTAGCATAACTAATCTTAGTATGCATATTTATTTTGAGCTAATTTATGTTGCCGATAATCAGTTATATCATATTATCAGCGTAAGCGCTTACATATTTTGTTGTTAGCGTAAGCACTAATTTGTAACCGATTTAATTTTAATTATTATATGTGATTATATCGTAAAAATCAAGAAGGATTATGATTAAAATAATTCAATGAATGCAAATAAATGCTGTCAAAATCAATTATAAACTATAATCATAATAATCAACCATATTGATTCACTTCGGAATTTCTTCATATCCTAAAACCAGGTATATCGCAAACGTCGCGAGACCTAATTTGCTCGTAGTGGGAATGGTTGGATGTAAAACAGTATAATATATTTTTATCTATTCTTGGCATGAATTTACTCCTTCCCACCATAACTTAATTTTTTTTTTTTATAACACTAGTGTTCTCTTGCTACCGCGCCTTTTGCACTGTGGCCGTATTGCGGCGTTTCGACGGCGACGTCTCAGCTTCTCCCAGCTACTTTTTTTCTTGTCTGAGTTGTGCTGCACTTTCTTATGCCTGCTTTTCTTTCGTGCCGCAGTTTTTTAACAGTTATCCAGTTTTGCAGGAACAGCTGACTTTACGGGCTCCATGGTTGCCTATACAAGGTCATGTGAGTTTTGACACTAGCAGCGTAATCCCGAAAGACATTTCGATCGGCCGTCACTCCTCTCTACCGCGGTAGCAACTACTGCACCGTCAGCCCTGTAATGGCTTTCCTTTATCATGTATACCCAAATCAAGACGTCATCGATCTCAGTCTTGAAGCCTACTTATAGACTTATTTTCGGATACCCATCACTCGTTGCCGTTTACGTCGGCTCGTCCTGTCGCCGAAGATTCGCAAGATTGTGTAGCTTTTCTAACCATTACCCCTCCTCTCTCTCCATTAGGGGTCTGCTTATAGGTTATTCGCAACTAGCCTGAACACTACAGGCCAATAACAAGCCGCCACTTCTGACCGCATAGTTGCCTGAGCTAATCTTGTTTATGTGTTGTTTGTTGATATCCAAATCAATATAAATAGTTATCAATAGTATTGCGATTAGTCAACAAAGAGAAGATGTAACAATAATGATATATGTCTATAAAAATATATATAATATAAATATAAATAATTTAATAAAAGCTTAGTAATAAAGCACGCGTCTAATATGATATAATTGCCCCATCTTTGAACTGATTATTTTGAAACAATAGAGTATCACGAGGTGCATAATTGAGTTTTGTGATAAAATTGTTGTTGTTTCAATGACTTAACTTTTGAATGTAATCATCAAATGGCACAGAAAAACATGCTTAGCGGGAAAGGCGTTCCTCAAAGGTATATTTTTATATTTGTTTAAATATATTTGATACGCTTTAAGTTTTTGCCTACACTTACGTGATTGTAGTACTACGAGATTGATTGTCCCCAGCGGATTCGTCACTATATTGAAGGAATCTTGCCAAAAAATCTGCGAGTAAAATTTGAGATTTATGAGCATTTTTTGTGTAAATGATTTCTTAGCCGTCAAACTTAAAATGATATATTCAATAAGAAAGGCGCCATCTATGTAATACTTACCGTTGCTTTCAATGTTCTGTCGAGCTTCTTCCAGTACTCGTTCAGTATGTTCCTCAGCAATACGGCGTATCGTTTCCTTGCTACAAAATACTGCTTTATGAGTATACGTTCCATTGTTTGATACCACGTTGTTTATTTTAGGCGTGTAGTTTTTCAGGTTGTTATTGACATATAAAACTAAAAACGAATTAAACAGGACAAAAACAAGAATCTCAAAACAAAAAAATTACTTCGTAGGTTTTCCTCGCTTGTACTTTGACTTGTCTGAACATCGCCGATTGTCTGTTCTTTTAAGACTTCAGTCGGTTGCAGCTCGTTTGTTTTGTAATTGTGGTCCGTATTGCTTTTTGAAAGCGCTGCAAGGATTGGCTTTTCAAAGTAAAACCCTACGTTATCATCGGTAATTAGTTTTACATTGCTGATACACTTTTCAACAACGTCTGCACGTCCAATTTTTTGAAGAGCATGTTGTAATGAAATGGTATTTGCGGCGTTTTGACGAAACCAAAGATGTAGCACGGCCATAGCACGATGTGACGCTTCTTCGTATTCTGCATTGATGAGCTCCATATCGATCTCAGGTACACCCAATTCTTTCGCTAGCGATAACCAATCGTTCTGCAATAATTGGCAAATACTCAATAAGTCTCTGTCGTCTTCATGGACATATTGCTGGTGTGTGTATGTTTGACTACTGGATTTTAATGGCCTATTTGTCGTCAATGTCACCTCTTTCGAGTAAGTCCTATTAATCAAAGCCTGCTGTTGCTTGATATTATATTTAGCGTTAATTTTGTTCCTCTGCGTAAGACCTTTATCAACAAAAGAAATTCCATTGATAGAGTTTTCAACCCTTCCAGTGCCATCTTGCTTTCTACCTTCAACAATATTCTGACTCTCAAGCGTCAAGTTTAATGTGCAAATTGCTTGGCTTAATTTTTCTCCCGGGCCGACTTTGGGCTCATTCCTAAAAGTTATACGACTGTGAGGTTCATCAGGGTTTTTTATATGTACCATAAAGGAAAGCCGATTTTCTCGAAAAGCCTGAAATTTCATGCTAAATTGTTCACCTGGCTTTAAAACTGGCACCAAATTGCCATTAAATTCTAAATAAACTTTCTGGTTCTCCAGCACTTCAACGTCACGACTTTTTGCCACTTCAGAGAAATTGTCTTGCTGTTCTAACGTCTTGCCTTCTTTATCATCCGTCATGCAAAATATCGATAATTTAGCATCATAGATAGACATGCGTTTCGCAAATATAACAAATTTAGCAAAAAAAGGCACTTGAGCGATGAACGTGTACAATTCAGTCGCCAAACGGCTAGATTCAACGACATTCTGACAATCCATTAGCCAGAAGCGGGCGGATACTGTGGTGGTAAAGGTGACACTGTCTTTAACAAATGCTAGGGGCGTTGAGCCTGTAACATCCTCCCAAATAGCACGGTTCTGGCCACCAGTTATAGAGCATAAAAGGCGTAAAGTAGACGCACTACAACTGTAGGGAGAATTAATCATGGTTTGCGTCCAGGCCTTAGGAAATGGTATGCTGAGGGTGATTGCTTTATGGAATTTGCGCCGACGTGGCTCCACTGTCACCACTGGCGAAACGGCAATACTTTGGCCCAAGAACTTATAGCATCCATTTAGATTAACTGGTTGTGCCTGAAGACCGACGCGAATTTTCTTCGTCAATGCATTGGGTGGAAATATCGCCTGAACTTGTGGTACAGCTTGCGCCGAGACAATACCACCATCTGGTCCAATAACATGTACCTCTTGTCGTACACGGGAGACTATGGCAAAGAAGTGCGGGAAATCACGTGTTATAATATGAACAATGCGATTTGTATGCAAGTATTCTAAAGGATTTGGTTGTCCTTTGAATGCTTCATTATGCATCTCCATTACATTCCTTTCATTGTCATTGAGTATGTGCTCACGCCAACTTTCACCATTGTCTGAACGTAAGATAATAATTTCTCGTTCCTTGCCTCGCAAGGAACCGAAATGAGGAACTTCCAAAATCACGGGTCTGTAAAAGAAACACATATACATATATTTAAGGAAAACTGCTGTAGGATATGAAGCTGGTAAGAGTATGGCAGTCGTTTAGCAATCTGTAGACCATTTGTATCCTTAGTGTTTAATTGGCATACCTATAGTCTCAGTAATTTTAATTAAATCAATTTCTATTTACAGTACCATTACACTATTATTATGAAAACAACAACAATAACAACAACAAAACCAACAGTAGCAGCAACGACCGACACAAAAACAGCACCAGCAACAATACCAGTAACAATAGCAACCACAGTAACGACTGCATCAACAGCAACAGAAAAAACATCATCAAACACAATTACAACAGCGACAATAACTATAATAATAATAGCAACCATATACATCTACTCTTTTGGGGAAGTGAAATGGAGTAGCGCGAACATACATAAAGCAAACAGAGCGGCAGTTGTACTAGCACAATGACCACACGCAGCTCTGAAGAGTGAATCAACCTATTGCGCCAACTTAGCGGTAGTGGGACCTACCGAGTCCACATGACGCACTGGTTAAAAACATAAAGTCATTTTTTATGTCCGATACAGGACACTCTATCATCAAATTTTTGATGAAAGCAGATACGACTTTCACGCCCCTGAATTTGGGTAGCATATCATAATGCATCAACAGTTGTTATACATCATATTATTGCCGGATCCACGACACACGCCAACACGGAATATCTAAACAGGCACAACCAGCTATGTAAGGTAATGCCCCAACTTTGGCGGATAAATACAATATGCAAACACAGCAAGTACCGCGAGAAACCGCATTACGGCGATAGTTACGATATACGACGAGAGGGAGGTCACAAATAACAGACCAATAACCTTAAAACTTAAACTTAGCCGCAGTAAATTGGCAGAGCATTGCGGCCGATATTATAGATATTACAATCCTGTTCAATAAGATTGCCAGACATATGGAGCTGAAACAAGAGGTGAAAAGTGTGTACAACATAGAGAAAGCTGCTATAACTCCAATCGTGATGTCTTTTATGGAAGTAGTGTCGATTATTCGATTATTCGAATATTGCTATAAAGGAGGAATACTGTAGGAGTAATAGTAATAATCAGTTTATAAAAAGACACAGTGGGGTAAGATTTGGTTGTGGTTTCATTAGGTGTTGACGTTGCTATTAAAGATGTTAATGTTTTTGTTTTCGTCGTTATGTTTATAATTTATTATTGTTTTTGCGACTTCGGTTTATTTATGTGTTGCCGTTGCTTTTAACTTGTGTTTATTTGTATTATAACACTATTGGTGAAGCTTTGCTGGATTAAAAAATAGCGGACACACCAATTGACAAGAGTTGTTTTCTTTGCTGTTACTGCAGGTGAGAGTTCTAGTGTTCCAAATATAAATGAATTTTCTCAAAATATAGTAAAGAGTTGAGAGTAAAAAACTAGACAAGTAAAATAAACTTTTGGCAGAAAAACTTAAGAAAACTTAGAAAAGCACAATCAATTAAAAATAATGATTATAATGAATATAACAGTAATTAAAAAAATACACACACATCCAAGCTTTCTAGAACATAAGAACAAGTCGACTTCTCAAAAGAAGTTCACTAAAAAATTTTGCTTTGCAGAAAAATTGCCAGATTTCTGAGAAATAAATTCAATATATAAATATCACTTAACCCTCTAAATAAAAGAAAATTAATACCCGAGAAATGTTGCTTCAACCGGTGATAATTCCAAAATTCGGCTAATTAAAGCTTCACCTTCCATTAATGGAGGAGGGATGTGCACACGTTGATGCTTAACGTAGCGGCAAGTAATACGCGTAGGCTGAGCGCACGATTGAGGGGGAACCACAATACGGACTCCACTATGGCGGCATCCACGCATAGAACCACCACGAGCGTCAACCATAAAAGAGACCAAGAACCTGAAATTAAATCAAAAGGAGGAATACTTTAAAAATTTGGTTTATTTGAGGAGAGAATGTATTATTTTACCCTAAATGCACAGGCGGTCGGGAGGTCACATTAATGGATTTTAAGTGGCCGTAATTTGTCGACATTGGAACGATATCGGAATCTAAAAAATAGATTTTTACATTAAATTCTTTTGGTCTTCGTTAACAATATTCACCTAAGGCGTCTGTTATATATGTACATTACATTACATTCTATACATTTAGTTTAAAGCTAATTCTTAAATTCCTGTCGAGCTGTATATTGGAAGTTATGGTATTATAAATTGAAGCAATATCGTTACAACGTTCTAAACTTCGAAAAATCAGGAAACCTTGTGAAATAAAAATGACGGTACTAAGGTGGGCTCAGTTTTTCATCGGTTAATTTATTTAGTTATCTATAATATTGCATATAAACAATATTGAAAAATACCAAAAATGGAAAAATGGGAATTGAAAGAACATATCAATCTCCACAGAAAAAAGCAACAAAAAGAATTTAAGGTAAGGATAGTCTACTTTACTCTAAGAATGTTAAAAGTTTTCGATAAAAAGAATACATCTTATCAGCGTCGACGGAAATTTTTGAAACCCACAAACTTAAATTAATATAAAACGTTTTCCAAGCTACACTTAAAATGCCTTAATTTTGCTTATGTAAGGAGAGACTCAAAACGTGTACCATCGAAACGGTTAATGTTTTTATTCTTGCAATTCATTATTCTTTAGTTATTTTCGCTATAAGATACCAAAAGTTGAGCCTTGTGACCATATCAAAGTTTAGCTTTTATGACCATTCTTACGTGGAAAATGGTCCAAGAACTTAAGTGGTGCACTCTTACCATAGTACATTTACATGTCAAATCAATTAGTTTTGGACCAATTTTTATCATGTAATACTAAAAACTAGACATTATATTCATGTAATGGCTTATTATTTGTAAGAATTTTTCTATGAAAGAGGTCGAAAAGTGTAATGTGCACACAACTTACCAATATAAAATTCTGAATTACATCTAGTTTAGTGAAGTGGCCCATTAGGAATATTATTCTCCGAACATTTATATAAAGAAAAAATAAACTAACATTAATATCATATCTATTAAAAACATATCTTGGTCGCACATTAATTGGTTTCACTGGCGTTGTTGTTTTCTCCTTCTGCCTTTGATTACACAGGATTAAGCGAATATAAATATTTTTGTTTTATAATTAACGTGAACATTCCGGCTATTACCCCATCCAAATATTTCATGTTCAATTACTACATCAAAATGTGCTTCCTTTCACCGATTGTTGCGGAGAAATATTTAAGCTGAAAATTTATTTTTTGATAATGATTTCTCTAGAATAGATTATTATATAGAGAATATTCGCAAAATTGTTCCTATCTGATCAATTTTTAACAAGGTACGGATTTGGCGCAAAATATTCAAGAATAACAAATTTAATCAAAATGTTGCAAAACTTATGAATTGTGGGTTAAAGAAAAGAGTACTTGGAAATTCACCGAATTTATAGATTAAATCGATTCTGAACGCGATTCTAAATTGACTTGTTATGTAAAAAAATGTAGAGAATGGAAAGAGAAAAACCGGACATTGTTTTGGCCTGGTTTATTATAGAAATTATTTGATAGGGTCTGGTTACTCTTAGGAGGGATTAATTCCTTTCGACTAAGAACACGTAAGAAAATTTTGCTGCGACCGACCACAGTTACCCTAAAAAAACAAAAAACCAAATTTGCATACTTTATAGTATCACGTGGGCAAAGGAGAAATTTTTTATTTTTGGTGAATAAAAGACGAAATTTAAATCGTATATTCGGTGCAGTTTATGAGTAATGAGAAAAGAACACGCATTGGTGTTCTCAGTTTTTGTCGAATTTTCGAAGTTTTCTTTGAGCGCTCCTTAAATTCTTTGCAAATTTGCAGGCGACATCTTAATTACAGAATATTTATCACACTACACACGTAAAATATAAACAGACGAGCAGACGAACGTGCTTAGACGCATACCGGGTTTGCCATTGGTCACGAATATACATTCTTTGTGGGGTTTTTGAAGTTTGCTCTTGGGCGCTATAAAGATTTTGATAAAAAATCATAACTTTGGCACACTATAAACATTGGACACGTAATATGTTTTTTCTATCTTTTACATATACTAAAGCATCACCTATAGTATATGCGATCTTTATAAATTTACCGGTTTTAGTTCAGGAGCAACGCGTACAAAACAATTTTGGCTTCTGTGAAAAGGGGAGGAGCAATTAGTTCACGTGGTACTAAAGGTGTGTCTTTCGACAGATTTGGCCCATTTTCAATAAAAACTTGCATGGAAGCATCTCCATGGTTTTTGATACATTTAAAGCAGATAGCTTCATTTTTGCAGTCAGAAAAATGTTTAAAACAGGCATTACACAGACGAACAGACGGATATAGTTAAGTTGACTCAGAAGTTAATGCCGGTATGTACACCTTATAGTATTTTTGAAGCTTCCTTTTTGATGTTGCACACATTGAGACAAAAGCAACATACCCAGCCTTCGTTCGGTGGTAGAGACAAGGAAGTTTGCGATCGACATATTATCGTACTTTACCGTATACAACACCCACCAAATTTCCACTCTGACACGTGTATGGCCACACCGACACCATGATTTCCCATGAAACCCATGGGTAGTGGTAACCTTCAAACGATATGTGCCAAGATATCAATTCTGACAATTTGTTTACAACTTACAGCTATTTTAATAACATTACTTTTATAGTTTTCAAGACAATGGTGGAAACTAAACTGGATGTGCTGATTTAACGTTGCGTTTTAACAAGGAAGAATACTCTTCGCAGTTGTAGGTGGTTTCCTAGTTTTACACAAAGTCGTGTGGACATCGATAATGCTAGTCGTCTAAATTTTCTGAATGTGCCGAAAAACATAAAAAAAGCTTAGATGATAATTTTGGAAAACCGTAAAGTGAAGTTGCGTAAAGTAGCTGACACTTTAAAAAACACAGTGTATTTTAATAAACATTTGACCATGTCAAAGCTCTGTTCGACGTTGGTGAAACATAGCTTCATCACTACATTGTAGAAGCCAATCGGCAGAAATTGTAAACTAAATGTCAGAATGTCCAGACATTTTGACATATATTGTTTGAAGGTTGACTATGCAGACGTTGTGGGTCTGTCATCAGTGTTGCAATATATGTGTTATACCAGAGAGTTATTGAGAGGTGTAATATATTTGCACATTTGCATAATGTGTACAGAATTTGTGGCAAGGGTTTAACGTGGGTTCCTGCCTGTAAGGCTTAACCCCACGGTGGCCCAAACCACTTTTTAAGCGTACTACGCCCCCTGGCGAGTTAGACAATCCCCACAGAGTAGGGGCCTAAACAGCACCAGAGTCCAGATCAGTTTATTGTGTATGGAACAATAAACCCCACTCTGGTGAGTGGCGAGGGCCTAGCTGCACTCGATTGTTCCACTTTGGCTTGGAACTGCCAACCACAACCACCACGAGTACTCCCCGAAGGGCCGCACCCAGTAGTCAGGACTCACCAATTGATCAACTGACTGCTTCCGCCATAAGGCTTCCACTGTGCTTGTTGATCAATTACCACCTTTACCCGCAGGCATTCATGACATGTGTTCAAAAGTAAAAATAGGTAAAAGGGGAGAACTTATTCGTCATACCCCTTTTCCATTCTTGCATGTATTAATTAATTTACCAGACATTTTCTTTCATAATGTGTACAGTAAAAGTTCCTTATTCGCGCTTCCTTTATTCGCGGTGTCACTACTCGCGGATGAAAAAAATGCGACCAATTCCCACATTCGCGGCCATATACCAATGTTCTAATAAACATTGCTCTATCAAAATTGAATATTTTTTGGTTTGAAATTAGCATCAAAAAATCTATCTAAGCGGAAGAATTTCAAAAAGAAAGTTATAGGTGATTAGAAAATATATGTTCTTGTCTTACGTCGAATTCTAAAGAAACATTATTAATTTCTAACACTTTTCAGACTTTAAATCTGTTGCATTACTTTATGTCTGGCACCAAAGTAAACCGGAGAAGGGGCCTTTTACACCGACTTTGTATATGACTTTTTAACTATATTGAATGTGCCAATAATTTGTTTTGGGGTTTTCTAAAATGTGCCTGTCTATAAAGTGTACGCGGTTTTTGGTAGCACTTCTTTGTCTAAAAAATGGCACACGTGGTAAGCGTCACAGTTTCGGCTTAACTCGAAAGAAAATGTATTTGAATATGATGGGGAGTTTTTCATTCAGAATTGTTTTCGGAATTCATTTAACCTGCCCGGCTACATATTCTGTTTAAGTTACAGGGTAAAATTTTTGACATTTTTAAATAAAATTCGTTGCATTGATAGGTTTTGGCCCAAGTGCGAAAGTAACCCGTATCGAACCATTATTGCAATTACTACCCCTGGAAATTCCTAGTAACTAATTCTAGAGAACTCTCCTAAATAATAGGATTTATGTAAAATTCATCCTTACGAGTTATTATGGTTTAACTTATGTGTGATGATAATAACAAGCTCCATGATAATAAGGAAATTTGAAAAATTTAAATCGTATGAGATTGGCTTTGACCTTATGTGAAGGTTTTTCAAAAAATAAGTCTATATGTGGTAACTGGGTTTAATTCTTATTGCTCTATGATAAAAGAGCGACTTGACATAAAAACTTGTTATTGTAAGTTTGGTATCTTTTGCCATATAACAGCAATCCTTTACATGAAAACTATGTAACTCTTGGTATTTTATGTCGGAAATAGATCGAGAATAATAAGTGTTCATAAAAAGTGATTAATTTTATTTAAGTTAGACCACGTCGGTTCAAGTTTTCTCTCGGTTTATGAAAGTTCTTTGATAAAGGGTGAGCTCATGCATGGGAAGATGTACTTGAGACATTTCGGAGGAAAACATGTAAAAAATGTACAGGGTAATTATTTTGCATAAGGCGGAATGCACATCAACAAGTGAATTTGTTTCTTTATGCAAAACTTACCGCTAATATTTGCTTTATTGCTGGCTGCGTCAGTAGTGTCCACGAGATCCTGGTCATCAGCTGCTGCGGCGTCGTCGTTGCGATTTTCATGATTACTGATATTTTTTAAATCTTCGCTTGCCATATATTTGTACTGATAATAATCCAAATGCTCCGCGTCAGCTTCATCTTCGGAATCTGACATAAATACTTCTTGCATTAATTCTGGAGCAAAAATTTTGTACTTTTGCTCCATCGCACCCTTCAACGTGTTTTCGATTGAAGTCTCCGTTATCAGCTTCAAGATTTCCACTGCCGTAATGTAGCCCAAGTTGTTGGCAATACTTAGAGCTGTTTGTCCGTGCTACAAAAGTTTTTCATTTAACCACTTACTAATTTTGAAATGCGCAATCACAAACACGAGATAATTTGGCAATATGAAAACAAACAAGGAATGAATAGGGGAAACATTTGGAAACTGAGTCCAACAAAATGTTTAATAAAAAGTATAATATCGGCAAAAAATTTTTTTTTACAATTTTCTTATAAAATCATGAAAGAAACTATATTACTGAACATTCTTGTAAAGGCAAATGTTAATTTGAGACCTTAGCAACATTTTATATAAAATATTCAACGACGTGCTTATTTTTCGTATCGCTAAACCTTTAAAATCTAAATTGTTTTATGGCAAATTTTTAATGCCCGTCACCACAAAGCAGTAGGTTAAAATAGCAAAAGTCTCAGTTTTACTTTGGAAACAATGTAACTAGGTTAATCACAGCTTCTGCAAGCGATAGTTTTTCTCTCTGTGTGGTTTTATATAGGACGCAGTTTCTTTCAGCGAGTTTGCTATAGCCAGATCCGGGTTTTAGAATCATGCTTTCTATCAGTGGCCTAATTCTCCGCCTAGTTTGGGATTGGTTGTAGGTCAATTTTCAAACTTTACCTGAGCCTAATAGCACATGTCCCAATCTAAAGTTACCTTGATGACACTAACCTAACATGTAATCTTTTATGGGATCTTTAAGATAATTGTTTGAACATTGCAAACTGAAAGACAAAAGGAGTGCACAAACAGCTCTCAGTGGGAAGGATGTTATAATCAACCGGAAGGTAATAACTGGCATTAGCTTTTTCATGGATATAAACATATAATGCACCCGTCAATAAGTCCAGGGACTGAGTAAGAAAAGATTTCTTTTCCAATACTCGTATATATTTATAATATTATAATGTATAATATATTTAAAAATACATTCTCCTTCCAAGATCATACAATGTAATGATCTCATGACTTGATCTAAACATTTTTATCTTGAAAAGCCTTATGAGATTTCCAAACAGATAACAATCGACTTGTGAAACTGTGAGCTCGTTTTGAGGAGATTTTCTTAAAAATCTTGGGGCTAATTTTTTCTTATAATCGAACCTAACTTTCTAAATTACGTCCACTATTTAGTTCAATGTAATAGATGAATTGAATATCATCAGACAGACCCCGTAACCTTGCCAACTGCCTGTTGGGTTCTTTATAGCTTTCCACGGTTTTCACCACATTCTTTCTACTCAGCGGATTGTTGGTTCGATTCACGAGTGTGGCGGTGGTCTTCCATTACGATATGCAAAAATCTATTGGAGCTAGGCAGCTCCGTTCTGCGATTTTGTAAGCCAAAACTACCACCTTAAAGAAAACAGCTTGCTCACGCCCATATTTTCAAGTAATATTATAGATAAACTGTCCTTTAGCGTTTTAGAGACTTCAGCATTCGTTTATTAAGAGCAAATTTAGGTACTTTCTGAGGTGTCTTGCTTTTGGTATCGAATGAGTTAAGCATCGGTCAAAACACTTTCAAATGTGTTGGAACGATATTCTTCCCTATCAAAAAGCAATATTAAATTAACAGACAAAATTTCGATTTTTTCATCCAAAGAAATAAAAACAGCTTCACTAAAACACAGGTGACTCGGTAACAACACTTTTCAAAAATAATGTAGATTTTTCGTTAGCGATGACGCTTATGTGTCAGTCCCCGGACTTACGGAACGATGTGTTAGATGAATGTATGTATGCCCTAACTGGATTTCTAAACAAAGGGAAGATCTATTGGTGCACAATTCAAATACAAGTAAAAAACATTCGAAACTTTGTTTATACAGTTGTTGACACTGTGTAGACAAATGTAAAAATCAAAATTTACACCTTCTTCGCCTTTATATCATGTGTTTAGCAAAACTGGAAAAGTATTCTTATATGCATTTAACTTTTAATTGATGTTTTAAAAAGTGTTCTAATTAAATTTTTATAATGACTTATATTAAAGCAAGAATTGACGTCTCAAATCTATTATTTATATGGTCATTAGTCATCGTCATATTAGTCATTTTGCCGAAATGTTTGCAACGCCCAGGAAAAAAATTGAGAGACCCCGCAATATATACATTTCCCGGATCAGCATAAAAGCTGAATTGATTTAAACATGTTCGTCCGTCCGTTTGTGTAAATTCTATTGTAAACATTTTCCTGGTAAAAACGAAGTTATCGACTTTATATTTGGCAGAAATATTGCATTTTCTTCCTCGCAGCTTGGTATTGAAAAGGGCCCATGTCGATAGAAAGACTGGAAACACGTAAACTAAGAACATCTCTGTTTTTGGAAACAAAAACCATAGTTTTGTGCTAATTATTCATGTCTTAAAACAGATATCACAACAAAAATTTCTAGTTTTCAAAAGTTGCGAATTTCAACACTGGGAGAATTATTGGCATATAAGTAGATAATAGATATTCAGTGTAAACATCTACTAGAACTACCTGCTAAATCTACGAATTTTTGATGATGTTTATTATTGTGAATAACGTAAGATGGTGATTACGAAGTATGTAATTCTTCTATTCACATGCATAAATATATATTTATATGACTCATTTTTTAATTACAAAGTGAAGTCAATTGCAGATAATATTAACAATTTAGCTTGCTTTTTTTCAGCGAAAGTCTTTGAAAGTAATGACATAGCTCTGTTCATAAACTGTGTGTCTTCATAATCGTGTAGACTTTACTATTCCACAATAGGAAAACTATGTATGAATTGATGTGTACTTTAGATGCCAATAATCAAACAAGTAATTCATATGTAAAAATTTTTCTGATTACGTCTTAACCATAGAATATCTACGCGTTTGCAAAAAGCGTTTTTGCCCAAATTCAGGTAATTATCTGCTATTAGTGAAACTATATATGTTATTGTTTGAATTTTTATACCATACATCATTTATGATACAGATTATATTAAGTTTGTGTCGACGTGTGTAGCACCCAGAAGCGTTTGAGATAGACCCTCCTTTTATTTTAGAAAATTAATCTTAATCGATCTAAGCCTGAAATTTGGTACACTGACTTGCTTTAGCCTAAAGACGAACGCTATTGAAAATGATTTGGATCAGTTCATTTTTTCGATAGCTGCTCATATAACACCCTATCTTGAAAAGCAGTTGTATGGAAGAAATTCCAACTTTCAAAATTTTCCGAAAAATTATTTGGATAATAGTATCCTGATATTTTTAAAACTAAACATATATAGTGTAAGGAAGCGTTTTTGCTTCCTTACGAAATACAAGTCTGTCCGCTTAAAAGTCCACCCGCACTCCGCAACCAGCAAGTCCGTTCTGGCCACGCACTTCGTTCTGTGAACAATACACGAGCAGCCCCCTCCAACTTCAAATGCAGAATCATAAATTATACTTACAAACGTAAGATCATAGAAACACACACCTATTCTTGTAAAATTAAAATGATCTCAAACTCAAGCTAAATATGCTCATACTTATATAAAGAGGAAATGTATAGACACATATTGCGCAGGTCTACGCTAGTTAATCCATAGGGACACACACTCCAGCACCAAACGAAGGGGAAAGGGAATGAAGGAAACTTGCATGAAATGGCTCGTAGGCATAGAACATGCAAAATCATACAACACAAACGAACTTAGACACAAAACCATAGGCAATATCTACACAACCGCCAAAGCACAGAATAGGTATGAATAAGAGCTGTCCGACACAAACCAAAGCCGTAGAACTTATGAATCATATAACTCAAACCTTAGTCAAACACAGGTATAAAACCATATGAAATAAGTACAACATATACAAGAAGAAATCTGTATGCCTTAAAATTGTATGGAAACGCGTACATATTACGCATTACGGTATAAATCCCGTTAGGTTGCTCAAGCATAGAGAAACCCTTGCTTCGCAATGCATAAGCATACTCGCTCCTGCAAACGCGCATACCCAAAGAATCACGCATAGCATTTTATAGCACTGTTAGGTCATAGTAACATACAGAAATCTGTATGCCTTAAAAACTGTATAAGCGAATGATAGAAACGCTTACATATTACGCATTACTGCATAAACCCCGTTAGGGTATACAATCAGGTAGAAACCCTTGCGCTATACAATGAATGTACGATAAGACAAAACAAATAAACGTTAGAGTCACACATAGCAATGCACACCAATACCCGTACGCGCAAAGAGCACAAACACACACACAATATTACACAAAATATCCAAAGACACGATCGCACATGTAGAAACACACATAGTAATAAGCTACACACAGAGCACATGCAAACACAGTGCACAACCATTCACATACCTAACGGTGATTGAATCACGCGATTTGGTACTTGAGTGCTTAGTCAGTAGACATTTGAACAAACATAGTAATAAGCTAGATGTAAGTTGGTTTTAAGTTGTGCATAAGTAGAATCATACAAGTCGTAACTGAGGTTGCGACCGCAGCCACCCTAAGCTAAGCATACACATAAGCATAGGACCTCAAAACTCATGTAAACCCATAGAACATGTTGATAATAGGACAAGCGAGCGAGACTCAGGCTATAAAAGAACAGCGCATCGCACAGACTCTTTCATTTTGGTGTCATAGCCGTCTAGGTAAGTACCCTCAGACAGATTAACAAGTGACCTGTACGAAGAGTTTTTTTGTTGACTTTACGGATAGGGGATGTGCTGGTTAGTATTAATCGCCATCCCTGAAGGACTTTCAGGATAATTGACTTTACGGATAGGGGATGTGCTGGTTAGTATTAATCGCCATCCCTGAAGGACTGAGAGACGCTTTTTTTTATTTTATTTCTGGACTCATACACTAACCAGGGACAACAGTCGGGCCAAGGCAGCTATGACACTGGCAACGTATCCGGTTCTTTTCTTCCAGCGCCTCGCGATATGAAAAGCGAACAGAAAGTGAAAGTCTAACGTCGTAAGAAAAAAAAATAAAACGGTAAGCGCGCAACAAAGTCGGGTCACCTCGCTGGTTCCTTTTCCTTGCCATAGCCCAGTTCTACACAAATTGCTGTACTTCTATCCAGTAAAGAGGAAACAATAAATCTAGGAAACTAAACACCATTCCCCCCAAAGGTCCTGATTATTTTTCTAAATTTTCTTGCAACGAATCCTGGATTGACTGAGTCATACCCCGCCCAAGAAAACTCGTTACAATAGGACTTGTCATGAAAAGCAAGCCCTTATATTAAGTTTTCTAAATTTCGAACACTCATGTAATATTTTAAGCGTCCTCCACCATGTGAACTTTCATGAAAGATATGCCTTCGCATGGAAATAATGTGTAATTTTCGGTGTATTGTTACCAAAACAAATGAATGACGCTACTATACGAAGAGGTGTAGGATATTTTATGGAGGCGTTGTCATTCTATAACGTTGTCATTTCTGTGTTTGTGTAGGTCCAAATTACTTAATCGTTGCGAGCGCGTTATATCTGCAGGAATTATAGAATCTCAACAATAGACAAAAGTATACTATTGTTTGCATTTAGAACCCCCTATTAATTAACAATCTGTATATGTTGTGAACAAATTCATTTTGAAACATTTTTATTTGTTAATTTTAATATGTTACTGCAGTGTAATATCAATGAAATGATTATTCGCAATGGAAACGTCTGTGAGAACCACACAAGTAGTCACAAGTCCTCAACAAACAAGCCAGCTGCAAAAATTGTGCTCTTCCACTATTAAAAAAGAATGTGGGGTGCCTTCCTTACTATAAAAATGGTTTAAAATGCTCTTTTCATGTGTTTAATATACATGCCTTGGTAAGGGGTTTTCAGGGTTTTATAAGCATTAGCTAAACTTTTAGGGAAACTCACGTGGGTGACGGCGTTAGGATTAGCCTGGTAGCTCAATAACAAATTAATAATCATTATGTGTCCTTGCTGAGCGGCCTGGTGTAAGGGGGTGTAACCAATATTCGTCGTTATCTCGATATTGGCATTGTTTTCAAGAAGGAATTTTACCATATTGATTTGACCATAATGACTGGCAAAGTGCAGTGGTGAATATCCAGTTTTAGTGCACGCTGATATGTTGGCCGCATGCTTTAGTAAAATGCCAGCCACTTCTATCTTATCATCTTGAGCAGCCAAATGCAGAGCGGTTAGACCGTTTTTGGCAGTTGCATTTGCGTCAGCACTGTGCCCTAACAACAGATTCAACACATCGGTGTTGCCTTCTTGAGCAGCTATATGCAAAGGCGTAAAACCTGATTTGCTGCGTACATTAACATCAGCCCCGCATTGAAGTAAAACCTGAACTATTTCCATCTCGTTTTTACGTGCTGCAATATGCAATGCAGAATGACCATTGCGGGCGCAGAGCAGTGGTGAGGCATCGTTTTTCAACAGCAGTTGAACTACGTGAGGATGATTGTAGTGAGCGGCTACATGTAAAGGTGTAACTTCATTACGTCCTTGACAATTTACAGCAACTCCTTTCTGAAGCAAATTAGCTACAATGTTTTCCTTTCCATATTTGGCAGCCAAGTGTAATGGAGTAAAACCCTTACGAGTCATTGCATCAAATTGAGCGCCATTATCAATCAGCAATTGAACAACTTCCTCTTGACCTTCTTTAGTCGCTATATGCAAAGCTGTATAATTATCTTTGGCGAAAGCATTAATATCGGCACCGTGTTCCAGCAGTAGTAAAATAATGTCGATATTGCCCAGGCGACATGCAACATGTAAAGGTGTTTGACTCTCGCGCGCCCGGGCGTCAACTTTGCCTCCATTCCGCAGCAATATACGTATAATATCGGTTTGGTTGGCTCGAGCAGCTAAATGTAGCGAAGTTTCACCGCGTATTGTAGGCGCATCAGCATTAGCATCGTTCTGCAATAAATAAATGACAATATTCATGCAACCCATAAAACTGGCTACGTGAAGTGGAGTTAGCCCCGACTCCGTTGTGGTATTAATATTCGCTCCGTGTTTTAATAATAGTTCAACGATTCTAATCCGATTTTTCTTACAGGCGATATGTAATGGCGTAAATCCGTTCAATGCTCTAGCGTTAGGATCAGCCTCGTAGTCCAACAATAATTTAGCTACGCGCACATGCCCACAATGCGCTGCTACGTGAAGTGCAGTCAAATAATCAATGGTAATAGCGTCAACGGGCGCCTTGTTATCTAACAACATACGAGCCGCCAAATCATGCTCACCTTGGGCAGCCATATGTAAGGCAGCTAAGCCGTTCTTGGTTTTCGAGACTATCGAAGCATTGTGCGCCAGTAGCGTTTCAATGACTTCAACATGGCCGGAACGAGCGGCGCAATGTAATGGTGTTAAACCATCACGAGTAGTGACGTCGATACGTGCATTTTTCTTCAATAAGAGCTTCAGTATATTGATTTTACCCCATTTACAAGCCACATGCAATGGAGTAATATTATGTTTCGCGGTATAGTTAACGTCGGCCCCTTTGTTAATAAGTAATTCAGCAATATCTATATTACCATAATGAGCCGCAATATGCAATGGGGTGAATCCTGATTTCGAAACAACATCGGGATGCTCTTCCTGTTGCAAAAGCATGGCCGCGCTGTTAACGTCGTTCTTCTTGGCAGCTATATGTAAGGCTGGTAATCGCACTTTCCCATGTATATCGCTTTCGAGCAAAACGCAAACGACATTGTCATTACCTTGTTGCATAGCTACTGCAAGAGGAGTGAAGCCATCCTGTATTTTAGACGTCGTTGCAATTATAAAGGATGAAAAATGTTAGGAGAACATGTACCAAATTTTGGCCTGTTCCATTATTTAATTAAAAGAATACATACCTCTGTAGCTAAAGATGGGTTGGAACCTTTTGATAACAAAAAGCGTACACAGGCATCATGATTCTCTTGAGCTGCCATATAAAGTGGTGTGAATCCGTTCAATGACTGTACGTTAACATTGGCACCAAATTGTATTAAAAGCTTAATTACATCCTTTTGACCCGCTAGTGAAGCTATATGTAAGGCGGTATTACCTTTTTTTGTAGCATTGTCCACTTTAATGCCACGTTTTAATAATTCAGTTACAATATCTATATAACCATCTTTAGCTGCTAAATGTAGGGCATTTAAACCATTCTGTAGAATAGTTTACGAAAAATCGATGTTATGAAACTTTCTTATCTTAATTTAATATTGATCCTTTAGACTTACCGCATTACATGTATTTATATCCGTAATTTGTCCTGACTCTAAAAATTCTACAACTTTCTTTAAATTCCCACTACGAGATGCTCGTAAGAAAGATATAGTTATGTCGTTCTGCAAATACAAATGCAGAAAAATTCATAAAGAGTTTTGAAGCATGTAAATATAAACTCGAATTTAATTGGCAGGGCATTTATCAGAGAGCTGATTTAAAAGAGAATCCGCCTGAGTGGCCGAATAGACAAGAGTCTCGACTAGCAACTCAATCGTCGTGGGTTGAAATTTTAAGTGCGGTAGAGTTTTTAATAAAGCCGAAAGCCTTAGATGCTAGTGCATTAAAATCTTAGTCCTAGAATTTATTCTCTGACTAAATTTTTAATAATAATAATAATAATTTAAAAGAGAGTTCTTAAAGACCTAACAAAGCTTCTTCAAATGAAGAAATAGAAAATTATATTAGGATTTAGATAATCCATTTTAGTAAATCCGTTGTTAAACGTTGCAAAAGAAATGGAATGATTGTTTTCGAAAGTACGTCTAATAAATGTTTGAATCCAGCATCCTTTTAAAATCCTCAATTTAAAAATCCTAATACGGTGAAGTTGCAAAGTATTAGCCAATTCCACATCACGAGATTTTTGCAAAAATACTAAAACTAACCTATATGTCTAGGGAAAAAGTTTGAAATTTGTTTTCCGAACCACGCGTACGCGAATACGAAACGATAAGATCTTTGATACTAATTTCTTTCCTGAAAAATTTCATGAATTCGAATTAAATGAAATTTACAAGTTCACTTATTATTCCCCTTGTTTGTAATCTACTTTCAAAAATGTCGTTTTCATTTTGTGTGGAATACACTGTAATCAAACGAGTTTTGATTTCTCCACCCGACAACAAGCATTACTCTTACAGAACAATATTTAGTAGATGTAGCGTAAAAAAAAGCATTCATAATTTCTTCAAGATTCTTACCCCCGTAAAAGCTTCTCTAAAATTTTTGCCTTAACTATGGGTCGTCGGATGAAGGGAGCTGGTAGGATATGTTTTATATTATTTCTATTTAGTGTAATTTGAGATTCTTCGGCATTAAATTATTAACCCTCGTCGCTCACTAACGTGCTTGCAAGAACAAATATGTCACGTAACTTACTGATAGTGACACTACAGTTATGGTTATGGTCTCCCAAACTTCGGTCCACTTAGGAAACGAATGGATAATTGTAGGAAAATAAAAAATTTTTATGGATTGTCCAAAATCTATATGAAGCCTGGACTCCAACCCCACTTACAAAACCGATGATGAGTTATAAGAAAATAAAAGACTTTTATGGATCTAGCGAAATCTATACGAAGTCTAGACGAACTCGAATGTGTGCCTAGTCATGGAATTAAGGGACGCTTTTCCGGAAGTTAATTTTTCAAAGTCTGCGTGCATCGTGTGCGAGCGAACCAAAACTTAAGTTTAACTATTTACGTAATTTACCAGGAGTTACCACTCGTTAACCGCATATCATAAATCCATATTCTGTCGAAAGCTTGTGCTTACGACACATGCAGGAAAACTTATTTTTCTATCGTTGCAAATGTAATTAATAAATTCGAAATCATCCCAATCTTCGACTATATTGTTTTGGGAAAACCGACACAAATGCACTACAGAATTTTCTGTATCCTTAATATATTTCATTGTATAGGTAAGGCCAGATAATATAAATACTCATCTCTAAAGACGAACGAGGCCACTGCTGGAGACCTTCTATTTTTGCCAATAATTGTTAAAAGGGGCTTGTGATTGGACTCTAAAGTAAAAGAATTCGCTCATCAAATATTGAATCTTGTTGCCCTAAACTTCCTTTTGTATAGTGCTGTAATCTTTGCTTGGTTGTATGAGCACCCTTGAAGCAAAAGGTGTTTGAGCTCACCAGCACACATAAGATAAATTTACACAAGTCCATTATTAATAGCGTCCGTCGACAACACAATAGGTTAAATTAATCAATATTTCCCTCAGAAGCAACGGCAAGCTTTAACGACTCAACAACACTAAACTCCTATATCCTTTCTGAGAAACACCGAGAAGGAAGCCATTTTATTTGCGAAATTCGGAATAAACTTTAAATAATGGTTTAGTATACACGCAAAGCCCTATTTTCAAAGACATTTGGAGGAACTGTTGCCCCGATCCTTAGCCTGAATAAAAAACTTCATCTTTGACGAATTTGCATATACTACCAATAAGTTGCAACCGGACTGAATCAAATTTCGTAATTACGTCGATTTGATGAGATTATCAGCGGCCTGTGATGATAATATCATCCACGAAATAATTAGCATGACTTGGAACACGGCATAACTTCCTTTAAATGGTTTTTTAAACGTAACAGGCGGAGGTTTAAAGCCGAAGTGTCGTCTTGGAAATACCTAAGCGCGCACATAATGTTTCTAAATATTCCTTAAATAATCAGTGGTTATATGATATTTGAAAGATAAAAATTTTTGTATACCTCGCCCCGTAAAATGACAAACAATTCATAATAATGGTAGGAGAGGTTTAACATCTTTCAAAGACTTATTAGTTACTATTAATGAAGTATACGTACATTTAGTAGTAGTAATTCGTAATCTCCACAATTAGAGGTCCGCCCATTGGACTTAATAATAAAAACCACGAGCGTATCCTCTTCCGAATTTTCAACGAGTACCAAAACTCTTTTCTAAATTAATTCTTTTGATTGAATTTCAGTTTTAGGATGCCAGGCTAACGGCGCATGTTTTAGTTTACAAAAAGTACATCTTACATTTTTAAGTAAATGAAGCTTCACCCTAGGTACATTCGTGAAACGCTTTTGTATACATTAACTCAAATAGTTAACTGTTGTAACACTTGAATTAACTGAATTAGTTGAATTGAAAATTGACAGAACAATTCCGAATCAATTTATAAAATCGGATCTTAAAAGTCGAAGACAGCTTGGACTCGCAACAACAAAGCGGGGATTCTTACTATACCCACGCAACCTTAGCACTATTTTTAGCGTATGCAGAAAATTTTTCTTCAGACGAATTCAAAACATTATCTTCAAAAATGTAATAGATGTTTCTTCGGAGATTAATGAGCAAGCGGCAATAGATACAAAACAAAATACATTCGCTTTTGATTCAGATGAATTGATAGTATGAACGGAAAAGAAGAATGCTCGCTCGCTACACTATAGATAGAAAATATTTTTGAATTTATTTCCCTACACCAGTTGTGGTACAACGGCATATTAAGTTTATGCGGATGTATTGCAAAAAAATGATTCTGTTCGTCTGTCTGCAGGTCGACATTTTTGAAATATTTTAAATATTGCCGGCATAATTCGCCATAAAGACGACCGCTATTAAAAGTAGTTCCGACCGGAACACATTTCACCATTTCCAATATAAGCCCCTATTTTGAAGTGTCGAAGAATCGAAAAGCATCTTAAAAAAAAAACTTATGACTTCTCTGCAATGTTGCTTTGAGCACGGCTGTTAGTCTAGATACTTTTTCCGGCCGTATTTATTTTATGACGGCTGCAAATACTAGCTAGATTTTCTAGTTTATGATACCTGTAGAAGTTTTTGTTTTTGTATTCATCACTGGTATAATTTACATGATTGCTGATGCATTTTTGTTTTTACTGTAAATTGCCCTTTCTTCTTTATTGTTAAAATTTTGAGATCTACGACAAAATCTGATTAAAAAATTAGACCTAGTTTCCGTGTGCAATTCCATCTTCTTCACACAGCCTTTCAAAAATTTTATCCTGAAATAAAACAGGCAATTGCAGTTGCGTCTCAAGTACGTATTATATTGCAAACTTTTTCTTGGCTTCGGAAAAATTTCGTTGCTCCCGAAAAGTGATTACTGAGGTGAATGTTTTGAAGGTGAGTATTTTAAAAGATTTTGTGGCTTCTAAATCATGCGAGTCAGGACTAACAGCTTCTACTAATCTTTAACCTTCATTTTGTTCTCTTCTATTGCCGCTTCCACAAAATGAAAATTCGAGACCATTCATCGATTTCTGCCCGGAGTGCCCTTGCACTGGTTGCTATTGATAGATAGAAAAATATTTCTCATTTGCTTTGTCTGTAGCTATATTTTTATTTCGTCGTCTACTCTTACGCAAAAGAAAGTAATACAGCAAAACACATACAATATTCTGCGCAATCAAAAATTGCTTTGAAAAATTTATGTTATAAGTTTTCTTCTGGTATTTTAATGTGGTATACGTGTACTATTAAAAAAACCTTTAAATCGCACCAAAATTTTATTGTTTGGTTAAAACTTTTATAAAACTGAGAAGCAAAGTTCGAAAAACCACTGTCCACATCGGAATGCACTTACTTTTGTTTGCCTGTCTGATTGTCCCTCTTCCTGAACATTCTGTAACAAAAGCGTTTGCAAAATACTTATGCCTATCTAAGTATAGAACTTCGAACTTTATTGATGGGCTTTAAGAGGATAGGAGGCTGTAAAAGACGGACGGACGTGTCATTGCTGAGCTAGCTAGTTCAGGAGATAGGTGGGGGTTTCAAATTTTTGTTCCACAGACATTCTACAGACGGTTGCAACTAAAAGAAATACACATGTTTTAACTCACATAAGGAGCAACAGACATATGAAATCTACTTACTCGACCGGCCGCTCTTACGCCCTGGGTCATTATTTACCCTGCCCTATCCACAACCTCTGTCACCCCATGATTTTCATTGGTAGACCCCGAATTTTGGTCCGACGGCTCCTAAGGTACTTTTTTCTTAAACAAGATTAAAATATATTTAATACGTTTTTATATATATGTTTTAATGAAAAGAATTTGTTATTAGAAATGGTTTAATATTAATATAACTATTGTTACATTTGCTTTATATGTTGTAGAAAAAAAATATTTGAAATATATCAGGTGTTTGCACGTATTTTGATCATTTTTTCATTTGAAAAAGGTATCTATGGCGAAAAGTTGGTACAATATTTATTGATCAACATGTTTTCCATCATTTTCAAAAACTTTTTCCCATCTTTCTGGTAACAAGGCAATACCGTGTTGAAAGAACGATATTGGTTTGGCAGCGATCCAATAATC